GAAAGTTGGAGGGAGTTGGGAGAAAGAGGGGTATGGCGGATGGAAGAGGGATATTGGGTTTTTATTTTCTGGGGCATTGTCGACAAGAGGAATTGATGCAATTATTGTTTAATACTGTATGGTGTATACATGTGAGTGTATGAAAATGAAAATAAAATATATTTTTTTTAAAAAACATCCCTGCATCTTTTGCCCCACTCGTGTAGACAATTTTCATACAGGGATACCAAAATTCTATGCCAGTAAATCCAGATTTACAATACAGGTAATCCTTGACTTATAACAATTTGTTTAGTGACTATTTGAAGTTACAGTGACACAAAAAAAGTGACTTATGACCATTTTCACACTTAACTATTGCGGCATCCCCATGGTCATGTGATCCAAATTCACTTGGCAGTTGACTCATATTTATGACGGTGTCCCAGAGTCACGTGATCCGACAAGCAAAGTCAACGGGGGGAGCCAAATTCACTTAACAACCCTGTTACTAATGTAACAATTGCAATACACTTCACAATGGTGGCAAGAAAGGTTGCTAATGAGACATTAGCAAATGCCTCACTTAGCCACAAAAATCTTGGGCTCAGTTGAGGTCATCAGTCAAGGACTGACAAGGAAAGATTTTCAGAAATTTGCAAATAAGCCTTGCGCCAAAAGAGGCATTCCTTTAATTCCCATGACACATTGGTATAGATGTGCATGTATGCGTTAGTTAAAGGTAAAGGTTCCCCTCGCACATATCTGCTAGTCGTTTCTGACTCTAGGGGGCGGTGCTCATCTCCGTTTCAAAGCTGATGAGCCAGTGCTGTCTGAAGACGTCTCCGTGGTCATGTGACTGGCATGACTAAACGCCAAAAGTACACGGAACGCTGTTACCTTCCCACCAAAGGTGGTTCCTATTTTTCTACTTGCATTTTTACGTGCTTTCGAACTACTAGGTTGGCAGAAGCTGGGACAAGTAACGGGAGCTCACTCCATTATGCGGCGCTAGGGATTCAAACCGCTAAACTGCTGACCTTTCTGATCGACAAGCTCGGCATTAAGAGGGCGCGGTGGCTCGTGGGTTAGTTAGTATTTTATAAATTATTTATTTTTCTCATCCTATATCTCATATATAGGATGAGATATAGCTCAAGAAGTATTGGTTGGAAACCTGCAGAAGAGGCCTTCACCCTGCAGTGGATAAACAAGGGCTAGGATGAGGATGAAGAAGAAGAGATGGTATCTCATATATCTTCCATGTGTTCTCTTCCGTCTTCAAGGTGTTGGATGGCTCTCCCATTGAAGTCACCTTAGCAAAGCCGGTTGACAAAGACAGCTATGTTAGATACACCAGAGGTACAGGAGGTCGAGCAGCGGCGTTGCCAGAATTTACCTACACCTTTGGCCATGTCTACGATCCTGCCACAGCTTACCTAGGAGCTCCAGTTTTCTATGCGCCACAAGCCTATGCTGCCATTCCTGGCTTCCATTTCCCTGCTGCTAAAGGCCATCTCATCAACAGAGGCATCATTAGACCTTCAACCATTAGAGGTAATTGTTAAGTAAGCTCCCCGTTGGGAGAGCGAGTACGTTCAGAGAAGCGTTGTGAGAGTTGTGTTGGAGAACACACA